CCTTTTTAACTGTTAGTAGTTCTATCTTAAACTGAACAGTCTTTGCAATGATGAATATGCATGATTTTGGATTGCACATATAACAAATAATGAACTTGAAATTAATTTTAAAAAGCACAAATATCATAACACATTTATATAATATGTTCCTTCCCCCAAAAGACAATAAGAACAAAAATTGTAAATTTAAAGACTCTTGTTCAGACTCCTCTATGTGGATGATTATGTGGTTGAGGAACTTTTGAAATTACTCTTGCAGGTGTAGTCTTTGTTTTGTGTCCTTCGGCATGCATTTCCATTGTCTGTTCTACTTCCTGCCACTGGGGGTCATCAAAGTTGAAAATTGTATAGCATTAAAGTATAGGCTTTCCACTGCTGTGTATCCCCGTTTTCCCTTATTGTGAATTTAACTGGGATTGGCAAACTGCCCAAAATGAATTGCTGGTTCATTACTTTGCCTGTGATTGACAATTCAGGGTAATGCTTCTGGCTGAAATGTGACCTCAAAGCACGAGTGTGCCCTCTACAGCAACAGCAGCCAATATAATGACTACAGCAGTGTGCACTATGATAGCCTGTGGGAAGACAGATACAGCATTTGTCAGTTCTCATAACACTGTTTTGTCATATTTAAAGGCAGTAAAACTTCACCTACCTCTATATGGAGAAGGTGAACAGCCATAGGGATGTTAGAAAATTATTTGATTTTCTCTCTGCTGTATATAAACATAGGCATTTATGTGCTTTTTTGTGCAGAGGAGTTTTTTTGTTTCCTGTTCTCATGCTGTCCTCCCAGGAGCCCAGCATGAGTAGAGGTCTCTTTTTCTCCTCTTGTACTTTCCCATTGTAGCGTATATTTCAGTGTTTTTATTCTGTAACACTACTGATCTCCGACTTGTATCCCCATGTGATGTCTGTGTTGTGTGTGTAAGGTTGGGAGCGGGTCCTATTTCACTGCAGGGCAACCTGCACGTGGCGAATAAAGCCTTGATTGATTGATTGATTGACATTATAAAAGATGGGTCCAGCTTCTAGGTCTAAAGTGCCTCAGACCTGTGGTTGGAAAAAGACCTGAAGTCCTCAGATCCTGAGCCCTGACCTTTGTAAACACCTCTCTGCCGAGTTTTTGGACTCCATCATTCATTTTAGGTCATACTGAATAAAAACTTCCATTCCAAGTCCATTTTGGTCTTTGTAATTGTCAAATTGTAAGACAGCAGGATTGTCCAGGTTATATTAACTGGGTTGAAACTTGTAACTGGTAGGTTGTTAGCCAATGAGGCAACAGTTTTACAGATGATTGACATGACAGTAGCTACGTCCATCTTTAACATTCCAAATAGCTGTCTTCTAATTTCAGCTAGAAGAAAAAAACATAGTTTCATAGTTATATCACAACTAGACTTGTAAGGTTTTCACCATGTGTGTGTGTGTGTGTGTGTGTGTGTGTGTGTGTGTGTGTGTGTGTGTGCGCGCGCCAAAAAGGTCCCAGAAACACCTGTCATGTGCAATCAACACAAGTAAGCAATCATTACATTCTGACAAAACGTCACCCTCTGTTTCCCAATAATTGTGTTACCACTGCTCGCTGCAAATTGTAGTGTGCTGGTGTCTCGGGATGTGTTGATTTGATTCCTTTTTTTTTTGTTTTGTTTTGTTTTGGGTTTTTTATTTTTTAGTCCACCATAGCACCTTGCTCTTCTTTTAGCTTTTATTAACCTGCCTGGTAAAAGTATCCTATGGCTTGCGTGTTGTCCATACCCCTTCAATATATGTCTGGCAAGTCTCTGCAGCCGATATTGCTATAAATAGAGCCTTCCCTGCAACATAAAATGGTTTAAATCAAAGTGTTTGATCATTTACTGCTCTGATTTGGTGTGATGTTTCTGATAAATCTATCTATTTTCTCCAAAAGATATCTCGTTGTAATATTAAAAATATTGTGGACACTATTGACACAACAGTAAAAGAACAGTAAAAGAGCATCAAAGTCAATACAGACCTCCTTTCATAACTAAAGTGTCCAACCTTTGATGATTGGTTATCGTGGAAAAACTCTTACTATAAAAGCAATATCACTAAAGGACGATGGGAAGGCAGGAGAAGAAAGGACAGAAAGGACATTTCCAAGTTAGCAAACATCCATCAGTACCCAGAGTTAAGTAAAAGAAAATCATGATGAATTTGGTAAAACTGCAATTCCTCACCATCCCAAGAACAGCATCGTTTCCACTAAACATCATGGCAGCATTATGCTTCTGTGCAACTTATTATCAATTGATACGTTCTCCAAGATACCTGTGACATGACCGTCATCTGAAGCTTAGCACATACACATTTTTGTCTTAAAAAAACAATTCTGGGGCTGAACTTGAAAAAAAATGGTCCATATAACATCCCTGAATGTCTTTGGCCTGTTTGTGAAAAGAAATGGAGAGGGCTTGCCTTTCATAATATATTTGGTGGCAAAGTTAGTAACACGGCAGAGGTCAGTATTTAAAGTTAGTTGTTTTCTTCTCTTATTGATGAATGTTGTATCAAAATGAAATAGTACTATACAAGAAATCATAGCAGTCACACGTGATATAATGTGAGTTACCAATGATGGGTCTTGTCAGGGACAGTCTAGTCTTACTCAGGTCAGATAAAATTACTTCCTTTGCTCTATAAATACTGACAATAATGACCGGCCTTATTTCATTTGGTTCTGCATTGGTCTCCAGTCTAGTTTGAGAAGGCAAACTCTACCTGTCCTAAATGTCACTGCCATGACATTTCACTGAGATGTCAAAGCCATTAGAGCCAAAACAAGGTGAGGAGAGATATTTCTCAAATGAAATGAAATCTGGTTTTGAAAGTGAACCATGGGCTGTCACTGGAGTTATTAATGTCAACACACCTACAGAAGGCTCTACTGTGACTTGGGGCATCTAAAATCCCTCCTTGCACTATGAAAGTCACGATGCCAGTGCCTTTATGTGGGCTCCAAACTTTTTACAACTCTTTCAGCTGGTTAAGGTCGCTACACAAATTTTAACACATCAGGCTATTTACATTTGCTCGGTTGCTGACCTTTAACTGTCAACTCTTTCCCAGCCTTCTGTATTTTTAGCTTTGGCTTGACTGCACTGCCATTGAACATCTATGGCTGACTGTAATGTGTAGAGAATAGTGTATAATAGAAAATAATGAATGCAGTACTTTAAATGATAAAACATCAATGAAAAACCAATGGCTTCTCTTACTATATGTGAATCAGGATGCTAAAATGAAAAATCATTCGGCACTCTGAGCATTGCAGCAAATTTGCAGCAAACACATCTTGACATATTTGCCGCACAAATAGATTAGTTCATTTTTCATCATTGTTCTGCACATATGGTTTGCAAAAATCTAACTCAACTGATAAGATAGCAATCTTATCAGAGTTGCACAGCAGCTTGGTGACAGAGATTTAGTTGCTGTGGCTTTGGTGCCTCAGATCAGCTGAAACACTCAGTTTATTTAAATCCAGGTTGAAGACTCACCTATTCTCAGCTGCATTTGAATAAAGCACCAAATCCACACTCTTAAGCTTAAATTTCAAAACTTATATTTTAACTACTGATTTTATCTACTGTTTTTTAATCAATTTTAAATCATGCTTTATATTGTTTTTGTTTTTTAATGTCTCTGTAAAGCACTTTGAATCACCTTGTTGTTAAATTGTGCTATATAAATAAACTTGCCTTGCCTAGTGATGCAAATGCTGTTATATATTAGGGCCTTGAATTCTTGCCACTTATCTCTCCCTCTGCCTTGCTGATAACAGAAAATGGATGGTATGCAATGCAAAGAAAGGAAAAAAGCATAAGTACTTTTTTATGTTACCCTTGTTAACCCCCAAATATGATACACAGTGAAGTAAAAACTCTTTTCTTCATATTTCCTTGTAAGAAATTGATCATGATTGAAGGAACAGTGCTTTGTAGGTTCTAATCTATTTTAAATTTAGATTTTATTTGAAATTTTCCAAAGCATATTAAAGGAGTGGTACAGCCATCCTGTGTGGAGCTGGGGAGTGTTTGAATTATTAAATACACTGATCCTTCACAGATTTGTAGAAGGGACATGTCTACAATTAT